GGCGGGGGAGGCAGTGCCACCCCCCTGGGGACAGGGGGGGACGTTGGGGGGGGTCCTGGTGGATCCTGGGGGGCTTCTGGGGGGTCCTGGTGGATCTCAACAGGGTTCCGCTGGATCCTGGGGAGCTTCTACTGGATCCAGGTGGGTTTTGCTGGATCTTGGGTGGCTTTTGATGGATCCTGGTGGGTTCTGATGGATCTCAAGGAGGTTCTGCTGGATCCAGGTGGGTTTTGATGGATCTTGGGTGGGTTTTGGTGGATCCTGGTGGGTTTTGATGGATCTCAAGGAGGTTCTGCTGGATCCAGGTGGGTTTTGATGGATCTTGGGTGGGTTTTGATGGATCCAGGTGCGTTTTGATGGATCTCCAGCAGCTTCTGATGGATCTCAAGGACCTTTTGATGGATCCAGGTGGCTTTTGCTGGAYCTCCAGGAGCTTTCGCCGGATCCAGGCGGCCTCCCGGGGTGTCCCTGGTGTCCCTACTTGCCGGCCAGMAGCGGGTTGCGCAGCACCACGATGACGGAGTCGCCGCGCAGGAAGAGCTTGGAGATGTAGCGGTCCTTGTTGACCGGCTTGGCCTTCTTGCGGCCCTTGCCGCTCTTGGGCACCTCCGTCCACATCTCCTTGACGTTCTCCAGCACCATGTTGCAGTGCCTGGGCACACGGACACGGGAGGGGACCTCATCAGGTGACGTCATGAGGTGACGTCAACCCATGTCACAACCCATGGGGGTGTCACAGCCGCTGGCGTCCCCACGATGTCCCCAACGTCCCCACCCCATGGGAGGTGTCACACTCACTGATGTCCCCCGTGTCCCCATGATGTCCCCAACGCCCCCCTCCCCGGGGCGGTGTCGCGCCCAATGATGTCCTCCCTGCCCCCAGTGTCACACCCAATAACGTCCCCCTCCCCGGGGCGGGTGTCGCACCCAATGACGTCCCCACCTGTCGAAGGCCTTGACGCGGCCCAGCAGCTTCTTGTTGTTGCGGCAGTTGACCAGCACCTGCGTGTTGTTCTTCACCGACTGCGTGAGCACCGACAGCGGCCCCGTGTTGAACTCCTCCTCCTCGCGCTTCTGCAGCTCCTCGGGCGTCATCTCGCTCTTGGGCTTGTTCAGCAGCGACCTGCRCGGCACCCGGTGTCACCCGGCGGCACCCGGTGTCACCCGTGTCACCCTTTACAACCCGGAACCCTGGAGAGCGGTGCGCGTTCCTGGGGGGACCGTTGCCACTGCGGCACCGCTGCCTCGGTGCCCCCTGCCTGCGCGGTCCCCCTGGGGGAGGGGTGCGCGCCA